GAACTCACAGTGGAGACTGAGAAGCGTTGGTCTGTAAAGCAGGGGGATAACCAGGAAAGAGCACTGCAATGAAAGCAAAGGCAGTAGAGAGTTTTGGGAGGGAGAAAATAACTAATAATATAAAAATGCAACAAAAGGTTCCAATAAGAGAATGACTTTTTTTCCTTTTTCTTTTTAATTCTTTGGGCAGAGAAACTTAAGCAGCCAATGACAACTTTAATGAAAGCAATTTTGATAAAGTGGTACAGATGAAAACCAAATTATAATGGGATTAGAAGGTACATTGGAAAAAACGTGAATGGGAGATGAAAAAATTTTTCCTCTAAGAAGTTTGAATTGGAAAGGAAGAAGAAAAAGGAGAGGGTGTTAGCTATGATTTTCTCAGAAAACCTCATCTTGTGGGATCAGGGGAAAGAGAATAAAAATAGGTAAGGAAGTAAATATCTCTGTGTGTGTGTGTGTGTGTGTGTATGTGTGTGTGTGTGCATGCGTGCATGTGTGTGTGTGTGTGTGACAGAGAGAGAGTGCACAAGTGATAGAGTTCATGATGAATGGGCTTGATTTTATCATCAAAGAAGGAAGTATGAGCACCTACTATGAGTCATAAAAATAAGAAATTTAGGTGAGGGGAATAAAAGAAGAATACTGAAAATTTCAGATTACCTCTGGAGAGATGACGACCAGAAACAATTAAAAGTACAGACAGGTGGAACTGAAAATCTTCATGAGATCAGAAATTAAAAAAAATCAATCTGAATAAGGGTGACAATGAGAATGAATGGGCAAAGAGAAGTGAGTGAAGATCACTAGAAATAGGGAAGTGAAGAATAAAACTGTGTTTTCGGTGGATGCGTCACACAAATGTTGATGTTCCTCAGGAAATGGTAGGAGGTGAAATAAGGGGAGAGCCCAGGAGCCAGGTGCTGGAGGCCTTTATGGAGTAACCAGAAAACAGAAAAAGGAAAGGAAATGGGGACCATATGGGAATGAGTAGAGTGCCATACACCTAAGAGCAAAAGGAATGTCACAGGAACAGAAAAAACTATGTGTTTGAGTTTGCAATGAGCAGCCTAGAGAATACTAGTTGGTGTTTCTGGGCGCCCAGAAGTTCCAAGGTGTGGGCCCAGTCAACAGGTTGGGGGAGCAGGTAGAAGGTGATATTCACTAGAAGGAAGAGACATAGTGGGAGAGTGGATAGGGGTTGGGGTGGCAGGGGACCCTTCTGCATATTTTGGATAGAGAACCATGTTTTACAGTAATGACAGGAAGCTTTAGGTTTAACCAAACCCAAATGTCCATGTGGCACCCATTGCTTCTGTGAGGGGAATTGTATGAAGGTCCTTGTGGTATCTGTTTTCATTCTCCAGGTGGCTGCCTTATCAACTGTGGAGTGTGGTCAGGCTCCTCCTCTGCGGTGGGTTTGCTCTAACTGGGTCCCAGTCTCAAGGTGCACATCCATCCTTTATGTCTTGTTTTCTGCATGCCAATTTTTGATGCTGACTCAGCTTCCTTCAGACAGCAGACAGCTCAGGATCTTTTTCTTATTTCTGGCTTCCTTCCTGAATGATTTCTTTCTTTCTTTCTTTCTTTTTTTTTTTTTGAGACGGAGTTTCGCTTTTGTTACCCAGGCTGGAGTGCAGTGGCGCGATCTCGGCTCACCGCAACCTCCACCAATTCTCCTGCCTCAGCCTCCTGAGTAGCTGGGATTACAGGCATGCACCACCATGCCCAGCTAATTTTTTGTATTTTTTTAGTAGAGACGGGGTTTCACCATGTTGACCAGGATGGTCTCGATCTCTTGACCTAGTGATCCACCTGCTTCAGACTCCCAAAGTGCTGGGATTACATGGCCCCTGAATAATTTCTATCAATCTACAATGAGGTTATTTAACTGACTAATAAACTACAGCACAGAGAATCACTTTTCCTACACTTTTACTTTATTTAGTTGGGAACTAAGCAGTAGTTAAAGGTTGTGTGTAATTTAGATACTGGGATGTGGCTGGAGAACCAGCTGTCAGGGGCATGACAGAAGCCAGAGAGAATGCACTAAGGCTGGTAGGCAATGAAACATGGTGGACTGGAAACTCAGTAATGGCTAATTGCCATTATAGATGACAGTCATAGAATGGTCAAGCAGTTATGCATTCTTTGCAGGGGATGTCAGCACTGAGAAACTTGAGCAATGGGGAAGAACAGCTTGATATGTCAGCCTCGAGGACAGCCTGTTTTTGAGACAATTTTTATAAAAACCATAACATAACTTTGATCACTCTGAGTCCTTTAGGGAGACATGTAGGTAAGTATCCTTAACTACAGCATAGAGAGTATGAGAAAAGGTAGATCCTGGCAGAAATTAAGCAGATTAATGCAGTTCATCCCCTTTTAATACAAAGTTCTGGTCAAGACGTGCTCCTTATGCATTTTACTGCATTTATGTATGGCATTTTACCTTTGCTTGAAAATTGAGCTAATTTGAATGGCAAGTCTATCTGTTAATAATTTCTGAAACCAGGTGCTAAGCTTTGAATTTGAAAATAATATCCATTTTTTTCCCATCCTAAGCTGATGAACAAGGTTCTGGTCATTTTGGTTGAGAAGCTAAGACGTGTACCTTCATTAGCTCTGATTAAGTTTTGAAGTGGTTACCTGTGTTGTAGCAGACAGAGCATTCCGCATGCAAAGCAGACATACCACCTCTACATGTTTATTCTTGTTGATTTAGAAAAAAAATCTGGATAGTAGTCTTTGTTTCCAGCAAAATAAGTTTCCTCTATCAATTCAATTAATGACTCTAGCTTTTTAAAATTCTCTACCTTTTACTTGACAACATATATCTGTATCTCTGGGAAGTACAGGAGTCTGAGCAACCACACATGGTTTGCCACCAGCGTGACATAAATACTGTCATCTGGAAGGGTAGTTTATGGCCAGAGAAAGGATTGGGTGAGTAATAAAATGGAGATGAGGAGAACCAGCTAATGAGGTTGGTGGTAGAGGAGGAGGCCCTTTGGAAAGTGCTCAAGAGAAATTAGTGGAACTGCTGGGTTGAGGGAGGAAGGGAGGATGGTGTTCAAGACTGGTAGATGGCAGGCAAAGAAGCCAGTAACACACAGATAGCCCAAGTAGGCCATGCTGGGAGCAGGGAGGTTGGAGAAGTGCCTGAGGAGAAGAGAGAAAAAGCTGTCAAGTTACCAACTCCCAATTGTAATTGGAACACAAGAATAGGAACAGAGAAATGTGTGGCTTTTCTTCCTTGGTACCCTGAGCTAAGCCAATCCTCAATCACTGATTCTCTTGTCCCCCTTCTTTTCTTTTCTTCTCTTTCTTTTTCTTTTCATTTATTTTATTTTATTTTATTTTCTCTTCCCTTCTCTCTCTTTCTTCTGGCCTATGGAAACATCTCCATGTTGAAGACTCACTTAATATCATCATCACTCACAAATCATCAATTTATGAATAAAGGAAGTCATAGTTATTTCTAATAATGGAGAAAATTAAAGATAATGTAACTAATTTCTCAGGAAAACCAGGCAACAACTCAAAAAACACTGTGTCTTCAGGAAAGCAGCAGAACTATCCCTCTGATCACATATGATGTCACCTCATGGAGTTTGGATGATTTCTTGCGGCTGAGAGCTAGTTTTCCAAGGTATTTTGAGTCAGTAAAAAATGGTATTTTAAAAATTCTTTCTCCTAAGCATCTTTGGTTCTAAAGCAAGATCGTTTTTTTTTCTTTCTGTTTATTCCTGTTTTTGGTACTGTTCCAAAAAATAAACCATCTTTGGGGTAGCTCTTTCTCAGGTGGTCCTTGCCAGCACATCCTACACTTGGATGAAATAGATGGCATCAACAATTGGGAGGCAGAGAAAGCTAGAGGGGAAGGGTCATGCTGTCTTCACATGAGCTTCTGGGGTGGTAATTTTCAGTGTCTGCTGCTTGTCTACCAGAATAGCAGCAACAAAGCATAATCTGTAAAGGAAATTTCCAACCTATGTTGTCAGGCTGTCTGCCCAGCTGACGCTTGATAGGAACATTCCTATCTCTGGAATGACAGACTATGGCCATTGTGGTGAGCATCTAGCAAGTCTAAGTGGCCATTGATCTCTGGTTGAGTTACTCTTTAAAATAACACTTCAGTGAGAATAGCAAGGCTCCATTTGCTTATGGTAAAGTTTTAAGTTTCACTGATGCTGAGAAGCTAAAGGTCTTTGACTATACATGAATTTATAAAGAGACCAAATGTTTGTTTCCCTTTTTATAAGCCACAAGACATGTGTTTTTAATAGACCTTTTGTTCTGTGCATCAATGCAAACATAATATTGTATAGTGCTTTCAAGGTCACCAATAAAGATACTTGGTAAGTGTCATAAAGTAATAGGAATAGGGTAGAGTTTTTATGGATTAAGTGACTAGAAAGAGAGATGTCTATACAATTGCCATTCTTTGCAGAAGCTTTATTAGGTCCTTCCCTGCTTTTAACTCATCTTGTTTTATCCTTTTATGTTTTCTATCCTCTATTTCCCTTTTTCTTTTAAGAAATAATGATTGAAGTAGGCATATGCTGAAAAAGAGATTAAACTGGACTTCAAGGATCATGCAGTGTGATGGAAAGAACAAGAAACTGAGAGTTGGAAGGCTGCCTTCACTGTGGCCTGAGGATAATTCTCAAGGCAACAAATCTGTAGTATGAGATTTACCTTGAAGAAGTAATCTGGGTGCAGGGTGGAGAATTGAGTATGATGTCAAATATGGAGTATTCATACAAGCATTGTTTAGTGTTTTAATAAGTCAGTAAACTATTTATTTGGGATAAGTATTTCAAATGTGTATCAGTGCCTTTTCTTCTGGTCTTCATAACAGGCTGGTCTCTGCCTCATGTTCTACCCAAAGGTAATGCTGGCTAAATGTGCCATTAGAGTCTGATTCGGTCTGGCTCTGCTATTCTCTAAGTACCAATTCCTTGCTGTGACATTTTCTCATCTTGCATGCTCTCTAGGGCATACATGAGTGTGAAGGAGCTGAAGGAGGCCCTGCGGCTGAACAGTACTCACTTCCTCAACATCTACTTTGCCAGCTCCGTGCGGGAAGAACTTGCAGGTGCTGCCACCTGGCCTTGGGACAAGGATGCTGTCACTCACCTGGGTAAGTGAAATGAAGACCACACATGGTAAGAAAAAACAAAGAGGCCTGAAGGAAGCTTGCAAAAGTAAGTTTGGAGAAAAGAAAGAGAGAAAGTAAATTTAATCAGTGAATTAACTGCTTTGCATTGATAATGGCTCTTGGTAGAGCTTGTCAAAATGTTTCAATATAGACAAGTAAGAGGGATTAAAGCAGACTGGCAAATGCCCAGGATGTTCTAGACTGAATCTAATTCAGATGCAAATAAATTACTGGCATAGACTAAGATTCATTTTAAGTCTTGAAGAGCCCCAAGCGGGGAACTATCAAAATATCAAGAAGGTGGCTGGCCTGTGAAACCTGCTTTATAGCGATGACTCTTCTGGAAAACTGGCAGGCTTCTTATATGTTGTGAGCTCCTGAGGAAATCCTGGGAAATTCAGGAGGCGGGGCTTACCTGCTCTCACCAGGGAAAAGGGTGAATACCTTAACCCCAAGTGCAAGTACTGAACACTTAAGAAAGACAATCCCTTTATGATGTCTTATTATTATAAAGGGAAGTCCTATTGACCAAGCAATAAGAGTGATTACATTCGTTTTATAAACATATGGATAAAAAGTAATTATTGAACATAATTAGTATACATTTCCAAAAAGTATTAGATAGCATTCTATAAAAATTTATTTTAAAATAAGTTACCATAATAGAGAGTAATATTTTGTGTTGGAAAGAGAATGATTAGACAGACTGGAAAGAATTTTATAAATGATTTTTAAAAGGTACTGCAAAGGTGATCTTCCTCACAATCAAATAAGAAGCAGAGAGGAATAAATTAAAGGAAGAGAACACAATGCTGTATAGGTCGGACACCTGGTAATAGTGAAGTCTAGAACTTATTGAATTGACAATAAAAGAAAAATATGAGCAAGTATCCAAAAGATAACCAGTGTTACAGATTGGGGAAGGAGGAAGATGAGCAATGTGTTAGTGAAAGACCAACAAACAAACAAACAAAAGGTTGCTGTTCAAGTGTGAATGAGAACATGAAAGTCCACGGAGTGAATCCGGTTCAGATCCAAAAGGGGTATATATACCAGAAAATGGAGATATATGCAGATGTATATATACACATATATGTGTAACAAGTTAAACATGTAAGGATCCAAATTACATGCTCTGCCAGCATGCATAGCTGGGTTTCATTGGCTCTAAGGAATCTGATTCAGATTTAGAGTCCTGCAGTTCTTTTATCTCTAAACTATATTTCTAGTTCTTGGTACATGAGAAATCAGAAATTTGTGATGTTAGTGCTGGCCTGGGGCTACCAAGGCAAGAGCATTGCGTGTGTTGATAACGTATTGCCTGGTTCTTCAAGTAAGGACCTGATATTTCCAGGCATCCAGTATAAACCAAAGAAGGCATTCAGATTTATCTACAATTACCACAAGTGAAAAACTAGGGAAAGAGAGGTTTCTGGGTGGGATGAGACATTTTGTTGGGCCTGTCAGAAAACAAATTTGTAAGTTATGGACTGCAAGACTGCACTTCATGGCTGTTGGTTTCAGGAAAAGTTCTAAAGGATTTTTGATACAGTTACAGAAAGGGGCAGAAGATTTTAGTCATCCATTTCCAAGATGGTCAGGTTATCGGGAGACACCCCTGTGCTTTCCAGATGAAAGCTAATTGGGTCATTCTAACCTTCCTGGTAGCAATGGGTGGACTAGAAAGTCATATTCCTATAATTCATCTATTAGTAAATATGGGTGTTTTGAGCTATGCTTATCAAAAGCAACAGTAGCAGAGGTGAGTATATAACACTGTAGGAAAATATCTCCAACTTGGTGCATACTCGAATCACCAAAAATAACCTTTCTGGTGTATGTCTGCAGAGTTCCTGACAGCAAGGTTTACACAGCAGTGGCTTTTGTGAGGCCCGGGTCTCTCAATAGGAACTGAATCTATTTGGTTAAAAGACCTTAAAAAATTATCTCCTTATAGAGAAAAATCTTGACTTCTTGTTAAGAATTGTTGGGCAGGGACATAGCATTTGAATGTTTTCTAACTTTATTAGAATTGGGCATTGCCAAGACTCATTCAACTATAAAAAATGAATAAAATACTTTAAAAATTATTTATTTGATTGTATCAAATTGGCTAAGGCAACAAGGACATGAAGAGTCCAATCCCAAAAGGAAGAAAAATGTGTTGAAGTGGGTCTCACGTATAACTCAGTCTTTTTGCTTTCAGGGAAATTGCCAGATTATCAGTGGAAGACATAAAGACAGAGCAGAGAGCAGCAGCCTCGAGCTTGCTTTGGTCTCACTACTGGGACAAAAATTAGAGTTCAGGTTTTCAGGGCAACCAAGACTTGAGGGATCAGGATCCTAGAGAAATGGAAATAAGAAAAAGGGAGCCTGATTTTCTGCTTGTAATTTCTTTTACGATATTTGTTAGCTACTAAACTTACACTCTTAGGGCCACTGGGCAAGAAAATAAATAGAAAATAACTTCTAAGAGATTAAAAAGCCAAACAGTGATTTTAAGAGTGTCATAACAGAAGAGACAAAATTGGGAGTTGAGGCCTTGTTTAGGAGGAGGGGCTCTGAGACACCCTCTGTGCAAGGGTAAACAAAAGTAGTACAGCTTACCCAAAGCCTATGATCCAGCCTGAAACACGCTTTTTAAAACATTTCAATAGTGTTGGGGGGAACAGTGGTGTTTGGTCACATGGACAAGTTTCTTAGTGGTGACTTCTGAGACTTTGGTGCACCCATCACCCAAGCAGTGTACACTGTACCAGTGTACGCTGGTCTTTTATCCCTTGCCCTGCTTCCACCCTTCATCCTGAGTCCCTAAAGTCCATTGTTTCATTCTTATGTCTTTACATCCTAATAGTTTAGCTCCTAATTTATAAGTGATAACATATGATATTTGGTTTTCCTTTTTCTGAATTACTTCACTTAGAATAATGGTCTCCAACTCCATCCTGCTTGCTGCAAATGCCATTATTTTGTTCCTTTTTATGGCTGATCTCAATCTAATTCACTCCTTGGGTTTTCATGTTCTCGTTCACCCTTGAACAGCAACCTTTTTTGTTTGTTTGTTGTTTGTCTATCACTAACACAGTGTTCATCTTCCTCCTTCCCCAGTCTACAACACTGGTTATCTTTTGGATGCTTGCACATTTTCTTTATTCACTCATTGATTGATGGACATTTGGGCTGGTTCCATCATTTTGCAATAGCAAATTGTGCTGCTGTAAACATGCATGTGTAAGGGTTTTTTTTTTTTTTTTTCCACATAGTGACTTCTTTTCCTTTGGGTAGATACCCAGCAATGGGATTGCTGGATCAAATAGTAGATCTACTTTTAGTGCTTAAGGAATCTCCATACTGTTTTCCAAAGTAGTTGTGCTAGTTTACATTCCTACCAAAAGTGTGTAAGTATTCCCTTTTCACCACATCCACATCAACATCTATTATTTTTTGATATTTTGATTATAGCCATTCTTGCAAGAGTAATGTGGTATCTCATTGTGGTTTTGATATGTATCCCATCTATTTTTCTTTGTTTTTGTTGCATTTGCTTTTGGGTACTTGGTTATGAACTCTTTGCCTAAGCCAATATCTAGAAGAGTTTTTCCAATGTTGTCTTCTAGAATATTTATGTTTCCTCCTGAAACACTCTAAATTCCTGTTTGGAGGAAGTTTATCTGCCTGTATTCTAACTACGTAGCAAAGAAAGTTAAATATTCTTCGGAGAAAGACATCATCAAAAGCTTCTACAATTGTTCATGCACAATGTCTAGGAATCAATAAAAAATCAATTATTTCAGGAGACAGGGTCAAATGATGATAAACAAAGCAAATCATATACAGGCAAAAATTATCCAGGTATTGGCATTATTGGACACTGGCTTTCATTATTATTCATGTGTAAAAATAGGTGAAAATGCATAGTTTCTTCAGAGAAGTGGAATCTCTACTAGTGAATCAAGTGGAAATTTTAGAACTAAAAGTAGATACCAGTAAGCAAAATTAAGAAATTAATAGATGGGTGTATAAACAGAAGAAAAATTTAAGAACTAGACCATTGTAGAAAATTTACAAATTGAAGCTCCAAGGAAGAATGTGCTGGGAAAATATAGAATATATCTTAGAAAAGATTTAAGACTCCATGAAAAATTTTTATTGTAAATTGGAGTTCTAGAAGAAGAGAAACAAATTGTGGGCAGAAACAATATTCAAAGAGATAATGGCTGAGAATCTTGCAAACCAACAAAAGGTATCAAACCACAGGTTCTAGATATTTTATAAACTGCAAACAAGATGAATAGAAAGAAAATATTTGCAAAACACAAATCTGGCCCTTGACTTTATTTAGAAGATATACAGAGCTACAGAACTCTCAAAACCCAACAGCAAAACACACAAACAAAAATTTCAGTTAGATACTTTAAGTTCTGGGGTACATGTGCAGAACATGCAGGTTTGTTACATAGTTATACACGTGCCATGACAGTTTGCTGTTTCCATCACCCTGTCATCTACATTAGGTATTTCTCCTAATGCTGTCCTACCCCTAGCTTCTCAACCCCCAAACAGACCTCTGTGTGTGATGTTCCCCTCCCTGTGTCCATGTGTTGTCATTTTTCAACTCCCACTTATGAGTGAGAACATGCAGTGTTTTGTTTCCTGATCTTGTGTTAGTTTGCTGAGAATGATGGTTCCCAGCTTCATCCATGTCCCTACAAAGGACATGAACTCGTACTTTCTTATGGCTGCATAGTATTTCATGGTGTATATGTGCCACATTTTCTTTATCCAGTCTATCATTGATGGACATTTGCATTGGTTCCAAGTCTTTGTTACTGTGAACAGTGCCACAATAAACATACATGTGCATGTGTCTTTATTTAATAAACTAGTGGTTTCCAGGGTTTAAAAATGAGGAGGCAATGCATGGTTGGAGGTTGAGAAGAGTATAGATGTTCATGCGACCTAAAGGATAGCAGGTGGGACAT